AACGTGTTAACATTTGAGGGCTCAGCCGAGTGCTAGTTCATCATTTAGCATTTAGGCATCCCCTGGGAAATATCCCACCCTCTGACTCCACCACCTCAACCAAGCTTCACAATCAGCATTGCTGTGCACAGTATTAAACTGTTTGTTTAAAACTTATACTCTGTGTGTGTGTGTGTGTGTGTGTATATATATATATATGTATATGTGTGTGTATTTTATATATATATATATAAAATGTCTTTTGTCTGGCTAAAAAAATTTCCCTGGAACCTAACCCCCGCATTTACATTAATTCTTAGGGGGAGATTGGATTCACTTAACATCGTTTCACTTAAAGTAGCATTTTTCAGGAACACAACTACAATGTTAAGTGAGGAGTTATTATACCTTCTGTCCCCTTCACAGTGGGGAGGATGAGAGGATTCAGCAGAGCAAGCAGAATCCTAGGGATAGGCAGTGGAGAGTTTACTCTGAGTGATGGGCTATATGATAAGAGCCATGTAAACCCTGCACTGGATCCACTTAAATGCCTGGTATGGGGAGATGGGGCAGGTAGCACTTATCTCCAATGTTAAGTTTCATAAAACTGCAGCCTGCTGCTTAAAATCCATCCCTGTGTTGCAACAGGTAAAATTACTGACAAGACCTTTTAATGATTTACAAACATGAGCAGAAAGTCCCCTGAACACCCTGGTTTAGAAAAGGTAAGAACACGCTGACATTATGGTCATGTTGTTCCCCAAAACAGTCCTATTCAAATTAAAAAATAAAGGTCATGTTAACAAATAATTTAGGATGATTCACGCATTCCAAACTATAGTATTAAAATGTGAAGAAAATTGGTAAAAAATAAGGATTATGTTTTGCTAGTGTAATGTTGATGAAATGTTTAATGATTTACAGTAACAGAATAGAAAATGTAAAACAATTTATGAACGTTTGAGTAAAAGTATAACTGGATATGCATCATAACACTGATTGGCAGAAAGCTAATGAATATGTAATATGGAAAGGTATAAACAAACAAGTGAACAAGGGCCCAGGTTGGAGAATATCAGACTAGAGACTGAGAGGAGAGCTTCCCAGTACCCTGGAACTCAGTAATTTGGGCTCCTACCTGTTCTGTCTATCTGTTTATTCTCTGTCATAAATAGAGGCTCAGAAATTATAAGTGATCATGATTCTGTCTGAAAAATTATAAGTAAAGACAAAGATTGATTAAGCCTAAACTAGGTGAACTCATGACTCAGTTTCCCACTTCACAGTTGAATCATTAAAAAGTCTTGTCGGTAATTTTGCCTTTTGCATTTTGAAGTGGTTTATGCAGTTTAGAGCCTAGGTATTTAGTTGTTTCCCAACACCTGTTTCTGTTGTGATTCACTTGCATGTCCTGATCAAGTTAACATCTGCAATATGATTCTTAGGTATCAAGTTGATTCTTAGGTGCCAAAATATCTTACATAGAATAGACAGATACACAATGGCCCAAATTCAGCTGTCAGAAACATGTATACAAATTCACAGTCAAGTCACCTATGTACCTGAGGGCCAGAATCTGGCTTCCAATGGACTTAGATTAGACTTTGGTAAATGTGGGAGTTTTAAACATTATTTTTTATTACACTTTGATTAGATCATAAGAACATAAGAACAGCCACACTGGGTCAGACCAAAGGTCCATCTAGCCCAGAATCCTGTCTTCCGACAGTGGACAATCCCAGGTGCCCCAGAGGGAATGAACAGGTAATCATCAAGTGATCCATTCCCTGTTGCTCATTCCCAGCTTCCTGAGAAAAAAATCCTATATATAAAGCCAGCTGATGCTGGCCAAGACCATAAGGAACCTGACATTTTATTATTTTTACCAGGAAGAAAAAGATGCTGCCATCAGACTCACAGAAAAATCCTGTATAAAAACATGATACAATTATAAAAAGAACTGGGACTGGGGGTTTCCTTTTACAGGACTCAGCCTTCAGGGTATAAAAAAATATTAGGGGCAGGGCTGTGGAATGCACTTTAGGCTAATGCATATACCAGAGTGACGTAGAAACAAGAGATTATTATTAAGCAGGAAAAATCTGAGTTTTAAGAATTCAATTTGAAATGTGAAAACACCTCATATACACACCTTCTTGCTTCTTGCATAGGAAAATGAATACCTGTGCCCTTACAATCTTGGTAAAGACCAAACAATAATGAGTGCCCAAAGGAAACTCGAATAAATCCTGAACTTGGTTGTCATGCCAAGATGATGTTATTTCCACATTCATTGTAAAGGACCCACGGCAGACACTGAGATGCCAATCCAGTGGAGAACCTCTGTGCGAGAGCTGAAGGAATTGGTGAGTATAGAACCCAGATATCAAAAGCTGCATGACTGCTTTGACAGTTTCATTATTCAAAGAGATTGGAGTCATGGTGGACCCAATCCTACATTTTTCAGCTTTGTCTTTGACCACAAAACATGGAGGCCAACCTTAGCAGACATATATGCACATATGAAAGGGAAAATATATGCCCTAGAATGGAAGACTATTGCCCTATGTATTTCAAAATAGATTTCAGCTTGGCTATAATCACCAGAGCTATAGAGCGAGTCTCATACTTTGTATTTGAGATTTTCAAAGGAGACTAGGGGACTTGGGCACATATCAGCCATTAATATCAATGGAAGATAAGTATCTAAATCCCCCCCGACAGTTTTATCTTTTAAAAATTATTCTAGGTTTTCTCTTATCTCTCCACTCTCCCTTCATGGGATTTTGGAACATCTGGCCTGTTTTAAAGGCCTTACCTTCTCTGTCACAATACAGGATTAGACAATTGCACAAATGGAGAAAGGAAAAGAGTGAATCAGTTCTTGAAAAATAATGCATGTGTATGAATTAGACTATAAACTTTCATATGTGTTTGTACAATTGAGACCCTGATGCTCTCTGAGGACCTTTGGGCACCATTATAATACAAATGGCAATAACAGTGACAGCAGCATTTGTTTTTAGCGCAGCTGACTTTCCTCTTTTTTGTTTCTTTCAATTTACTTTAGACTAACTCTGACCAACAAATCTCACGATAAGATCATTTCCCACTCCATCCCTCCTTGTGCCTAATTACAATTTCTCATAGGAAATTGCACAAAAAATGGGAACCTTCCATAGGAAGAACCTAGGAAGAACCTCTTCTTTTAAGAGTTTGGTTCCTGTTATGTCAGTAGTTTTATCTTCAGAGAACTTCAGCAGCAGAAAAGAAAGGTCAAGAGGCAGAAACTTCAGTGCTGATGTAATCCCCAAGGAGTGTTATTCCCCTCACAGGTATGACTAGTATGAGATGCCAAATTAAATATACTCATTTTGCCTTCTATGTGTCATTCATAATGGAATAAGTGAATCTGTAGAAAAGTGGAGCAGTAAGAGAACAAGCAAGTTCTCCCTGAGATCTCAGCTGGTATAATGGTGAAGTTCAAAACAGTTCTTCCAAGATACCATTTTCAATGGAACTCACCAGGACCTCTCTTTTTATTGCACACACCCACTCCCTAAGTACTAGATGAATAAAACCAAATGTATGTTACCTCTGTGTCAGCCCCATATAGGCTGATGTGGAAGGCCATAATGAGGACTGGTCATCAGGTCCAGTGCCACAGCTCTTCCAACTAGTATGGTAGGTCTGTGGCTATGTAGCAGCCCTGTCACCAGTTTTAAGTTGGAGGAGTGGATTTTATTTCCTATATCCATTGGCAGTTCACCTCGTTATTGTCACTCTATGGGTGCAGTGGATAACCATTCAGGATCAGGTCAAAGGGCAGACATTTTGTTACACATTTCACTAGATAGCTGAGTGTGATGGTCAATGGCATGTTATAAGGCTGGTGGAACAGAGCAATTAAAAGCCATATACCTCTGCAGAGCTATGGGGTGTTCTAATTCAACTCCCAGCACAGTTCTGTTCAGCAAAAAGCTGTTTTTGGTGCCAGGACTCAATTCTCAAAGTGGGTGCCTAAATTAGATTGGCACTTACACACCTAAAATAGGCATTTGAGCACCTAAATACTGAACTGGGTATTCTCAAAGCACCCAGGTTTGAATATTGTGCTCCCCAACTTCTGTGTGCAACCTGAGAGGTCTTAATTAATATAAGGGCAGGGTTGTACTAATGGAGCAATGTGAGATGGTCCGGACTCTCATCCCATCAGATCAAGTTATCGCCACAGAAAATGCATGCCACAGAAATTGGTAAAAAATTCAGGCCAGGATGCCATCACAAATGTTTATCCATTTATTTAAAATTTAAATATATGTTCCAGATCTGGTGGTAAAATTATTAATCAGATTATTCCAAATATTTAGAGACCAAAAAATTTGATGTTTTGGTTAGACATACCCAAAAGTGGAGGCACAAACAATATGTTCGCATTGGTAAGATAGTCTGAATTCAGAATTTCCTTGCCTTGTTTTTACTCTTAACCATAATGTTATTTTAATGTTTTGTGTCTTTCTTGATTTTTTAAGGGAAAAAAATGGATGCTAGGGTTCTTGTCTTTGTGTCACTTCATTATATCTTGCTATGTTCTCTCAGTTTCTCATAACCAGAGTGCAGTCAACCAGTTTCTGCTTTGACATTGCAAAGTGGTCTCAATCAGTTGTCACCGGTGAGATTTTTTATTCATTTTCCATGACATTAACTGTATAGATTTATGGTGTTGCTGCTTTTATTCTTTTGGATATTGGGTTTTCAGTAGTAATTTTTCATATTTAACTCGATTAATGTCTAATGAATCAATTATAAATGCTATGTGCTGGGATTTCTTCGGAAATAGGATTATTGACAAGAAATATAACAAACATGAAATTCTGCAGTTTAAATTTGACTCCTTTTTCCAGATAGTTTTCTGAAATGTGTGGCTTTTCTCCCCGCCTCAGAGTTGCACTTATATCTATAATACCTTTGTTGTTATCCATGTGGGCTTCTTAGAGTTTAAAAAGTTTAGTAGTCCATACCTTCCAGCTTCCTGCAGCCAAGTTCTGCAGTGCACCTGCTGCTCCTTCCAGTGTGTCTGGATTTGAGCACTCAGAGAGAAGTGTGAGGTAGGGTTTGACTATTGAAGGGTGCCACAGCATCTGGATTCCTTTTGGTGGTTCTGCACAGTCTGGAAGAGGTCCTACTCCATCCCACTGTTGGAAAGCAGAAACCAAACGTCACAAAGGATGCCAATATCAAAGACAACAATACTCAACATTTTTTATATAGGCCCATGGCCAAAAACCACCACCATCACCTTTAACATACTGTTTGAGATCCTTGATGGAGGCAAATTCCCCTCCCAGTACTCTTTATAAAATAGCTTTTTGATTGTATTTGACCTCACCATTAGTGAAAATCTAAGAGTGTTCTACCTAACTAGCATAATGAGAGCAATTAGCTTTCAATGCATAATTTAATTTTTTCAGGGGAGTGAATATCTATTGGGACATACATGTATCAACAGATCTTAATACGTACCTTAACAATTTGCATTTTCTTTTTATATTTGACTTGATCCTTTGTGCTCTTTCTTTCCAGTGGGAATCACACTCAAAAAATAAATTACATGGGGGCATATGCTCGCCACCATTTATAGGCCAGGAGGGTAAGGTGGCTACGGAATAGCTTTCACACAGCTACTTCTAGCCTCTTTGTGGCACTTAAGCTGCTACTCAGCTCTGAGGGCAGCTACTCTGAGGGCTTCAAACAGCTCCCGATTTCTTTTATAAATCTACCCATCACAAAAACTTTCTTCACCAATGTAGAATTCTGCCTCCAAAATTACCCCATCCTGATGCCCAGTGTGGGCAGTATACAGTATCTGATCTAAGAACAGATCTCACAAGCCGAAATGGGAGCCTTAGTCCAATGGAAAGAGGAGATCTCCTCTTTCCGGTCCGACTTACAGGATTCACACCTAGAAGGTCCTAAGATATGGGAATTAAAAGTCAAAACACTTTTATGCACAGAAATGCTATTTTAGGTCATTTTAAAAGAATTTTGAAATGCAATACTTATATGTTTCTCTCAATGTGCATTGTACAGGCAGAGGAGTACAAAAAAGAGAATCTCAATAACACTTTAAAACATTTTCTAAAACATTTATAATACATTTTTTTCTGAAACATATGTGGCATATACAGAATGCATGTGTCTGGATGTGTGAGTGATGATTTGTTTAAGCTGAAACAAAGAGAAACGAGCCACCGGCAGGCAGAAACAACCCTCCTTCATCATCACTGCCTCTGGTGGATACAGAGAATCAGTCTGCCCTGATCCCACTCATCCAATGGTAGCAGAAAGCAATTGGAACAGGCTCTGACCTCACACCCTGATCAACCCATTTCCTCCCCTGGGGGGGAAGAAGGAGAGGAAAGCAGCAGCAGCTCTAGATCCCTCTTACCCATAGGGGCATGGCATGCATGGCCCCATCACTCAGTGGCCCAGCAATTACACATCCTGGTTAGCGGGTGAACATTGGTCCAGATCCTCAGCTGATGTAAATTGATATGGATCTATTGACTTAAATGGAGCTATGCCAATTTACACCCGCTGACCATTATGTTTTGCAAATGAAAAAAGAACAAACACAAATGCAAAGTTAGCTGGTCTTTCAATAATGCACATAAAGAGTTATATGAGAGCAGCTGCTAGGATATATAACTCAAAGCATCGGACAAAAAAAGACAACATATAATCAATGGAAAAGCCGTCTCTACTGGAGGCACTATCAAATGCCCAGAAACAGTAGCAAAATCACCTTAAAGGGGTTGAAGCTAAACCCTGCTGAATGCAGCCACTCTGAAAGGGAGCACGATGTGCTTGTGACATCAGCTTGTTAAAATTCTGCTTTCAAACTGAAGAAAAGGTTGGTTGACTTCCCTGCTGGTGAGAGAATTCAATCCCCCTCTTTGGACACAATAATCAGCCCTTCCAGGGATTGCTTCATGAAGGCTCATAAAAATTCTTATAAAAATCTACTTTTTTCCCCTCTGGGAATGCAATAAAGTGCCTGAAGTCTCAGGTATTTTGAAAGAAAAAAGGGTAGGAAATTCCTCTTATGAGGGGCCCAATTCTGTCCTCACACCAGTTTTTACACTAGTGTAAATACATTTGCTTTAATGGAGTTACTCCTGATTTACTGTGGTTCAAATATAATCCAAATTCAGGTTAAGGTCTTCACCCCTTCCCTCCCAATCCTATTTCAAATTACACACATTGAACACTGTGCTATCGAATTTATATACTGGGTTTTTATTATATTTCTCAGCAACAAAATATAATGTAGCAAATATGTTAGCTTTGGTGTACACACAGTTTTTGTACTGGTATAAATGTTGATCATAGATACCATTTTTTACTGAAATAGTATATCTGTGCAATTCCTAGCGTGGACCCAGTTATATCACCATAGAGATGCTTATATCAGTATAATTTATTCCCCCATAGTTATAAACAGGTATATGCATGTTTATACGGTATGACTGTGTCCACACTAGGAAGGTTGTACCTCTTTAACTGCATTGGTATAGTTTTCTGCGGACAAATCCTTCCTTAATACAGTCTTGCCAAATGGCGATTCCTCCTTGTTTGGTGATGGTTATGAGAATGCATTCTTTTTTTTTGTAAAGGAAAACCAAATGAATAGATCTCCTGATTTTTCACCCCTGCTCTCTGCTAGCACACGGCACATACTTTATCATTCACTAAGAGGGGAAATGAGTGTGGGAGACCTTTATTACAATATCATGAGAACTTCACTGAAGGAGAGGTGGGTAAATGAAGAGTTTTACATTCCTAATTTACCACTGGTGAGCTTATGAGTTAAAATTCTTTAGGAGAATTGTTTGAGCTCACCAGCAACATACTACTAAAACCACAGCAGGCCAGATTCTTATGACTTGTCTACATGGTCAGATAATGTGCTGTACATAGGGTGTGATTTCTAAAATGCACTGATGTGGATGCACATTAATGGATCCGTGTAGTCCCTGCTTGTGGGCTTTCACATAGTGCAGTTTGTTGTCTGGCTTTCAAGATATTCCAGCTAGAATGTTTATTATTAAGTCTCATGGGATGAATTATTCTCATTTTATACACTAGACGGCATTTAATATTTGTAAAGGTTTTTATTTAAGCTTTCCCTTGCTCTATTACCACATTTAGTGAAGGATGGTTCTCCTCCCCCAACTCTTTTTCTTATATTTAGAATTATAAAAAGTGCCCATACACCGTCTCTGAGCAACCTGCCAGTTCTTAAAAATTACAAACAAAATACATTGTTCAATCATCTCACCCCATCTACCAAAGAGCAGCTTATTCTCAAACAGGAATTAATTCACGGCAGTCCTATAGCCTGTTATACAGGAGGTCAGACTAGATAATCATGGTGGTACTTTCTAGCATTATAATCTATGAATCAAAAGCTAACACCCTTGCACATCAGCCTATACCTCAATATCTCAACTCTTCATAGATAGGTGAAACAAATGGCCCCTGCACCATCCTCTGAAAGTCATAGAGACTGGGAGTGGCTAAGTCATTATGCAAGGTAGCCTGTTTCCTCTTGTTTTTTCCTACCCCCCCCCCCAGATGTTCTGGTTTAACTTGGATTTAAACTTGGAGAGTGGTCAGTTTAGATGAGCTATTACCAGCAGGAGAGTGAGTTTGTGTGTGTATGGGGGTGGGGGGGGGATGTGAGAAAACCTGGATTTATGCAGGAAATAGCCCGACTTGATTATGTAAAGAGTTGTCACTTTGGATGGGCTAGCACCAGCAGGAGAGTGAATTTGTGTGGGGGGGTGGAGGGTGAGAAAACCTGGATTTGTGCTGGAAATGGCCCACCTGTTGATCACTTTAGATAAGCTATTACCAGCAGGACAGTGGGGTGGGAGGAGGTATTGTTTCATATTCTCTGTGTATATATAAAGTCTGCTGCAGTTTCCACGGTATGCATCTGATGAAGTGAGCTGTAGCTCACGAAAGCTCATGCTCGAATAAATTGGTTAGTCTCTAAGGTGCCACAAGTACTCCTTTTCTTTTTGCGAATACAGACTAACACGGCTGTTCCTCTGAAAAAAATCTGGACTATTTCAAACACTTCTGTAGTTCTGATTGATTGATATGACTTTTGTTGGCCAGCTGCTTGTAGGGTCTTGAGCTTCATGAGTTTAAGAGAGATTTCCTTTAAGTTAAGCAAGAATTTTGTGCATTGTTGCTTTTCCTTCCATCTCAGAAGTAACTCAAAGGCCTGCTAAGATTAGGACATTCATGACTAACGAACAGCAGGCACAATGCCCTCTGCTGAGGTAAGGAGAGTCACAAACGAATATTAATATCCTTAATAGCAGATCTTTAAGGTAATGCATCCTTTTATTTGAATCTTTCATACTGAGCTCAGACTAATGACTCAACCCAGTAATAGTCTGCATGTATTTATCTACCTGTGTATATACCTGGGACTCATCACCATAGCATCTGACTGCTGTCAGCAACATTACACACTGGCAGGACCACATGAATGGGCACAGCCCTCTCTGATAAGTTGGACTGCTGATGCATCATCATACAGAGAACTTGACAGTGCTGGCCCATTCCACAAGTCCTCAAAATATTTGTTCCTTTGGGAAACCCTATCCACACTGTCTTAGGAATGCTGTTTAAATATGGTTTTATTGGATTCCTTAGCCAGCAAAGATGAAGCTTTTGTTTTCTTGAAGTAGTAGCTAACCTCCCTAGAGTAGTAGAATTTACAACCTATCCACCTAGCATGCGAAAGCATGAAGTGTCAGGCTATTGGTAATGGTATTTAACTTGAAATGTTGTTGTTTTAGCTCCAGGCTCCTGACAGAAGGTAAAATAGAAGGTCAGTCTCATTTCAAAAGTGCCACTTGTAATCAAAATAAAGATTCCGGGACAGATTCTGATGTCACACTGGTAATCATAAATAATAGTGAAACAGGAGTAAGAAAAGTTTAAAACCAGTGTAAATGAGATCAAAATCTGGTACATCTTTCCTTAGTAAGGAACGGAAAAGATAAATGAAGCCGTGCCAAATTCTCGTGTGTGTGATTGGTGGTATAACAAGTGTAAGTAGAGTATAATGTGTATTATTAGCAGCTATCTTGTTTTTACCATTATTTTTCTTAAT